AGGACAGCTGATATAATGCGGTTATAAAACAACATATACATCATATCATATAAATCATATATAATATTAATGATTACAAAATCTTCCAGTCTTGTCGATATATAATAAAAATGTGTACTTTTGTACAAATAAAATATTCAATATAATATTATTATTATTTTTATAAAATTGTATGGTTAATATTAATATCTACAGATGATGGCTGATATAATGTAGAGATATACATGATTTTTATGTGTTAGATATTTGTTAAAAATGGTTAAAAAGTGTATTATTTAAAAAATAAATAAAAAATGTGATGATAATCAGACGATGTTTGACAGATTAATCAGCCGGACTAATAAATCAGCCCCTAATTTTTCCTTTAGAAATGTCATATTGGCATTTCTCAGAAGAATATGCATATTTCTGAATAAACGCATCTTCATAAATCATGAGATGAGCTGGAGAATTAAAGGTCAGGCTTTAGATGGTTATTAATGACACAGTCTCGTGTCTCACTTTAATTTTTCAGTGTTTTTCATCAAACCATAAATACGCCGCTCCAGGGTTTATTATTGGCATGAGAGGAAATATAGAATTATTGTGTAAGATTAATGCATTTCATTCCTTCAGAAATAGTAAATATGTTGTTTGTTGGGAAACTTATTTCTCTGCTCCGGGTGACTGCTATTGAACGGGAATTTCAATGGGAATTGATTAGTTAGAATACACACACACACACACACTTACAAATAAATATTTATATATATATTTATATATTTAAACATTTAAATATATTTAAATATTTAATATTTTTATATTTAAATATATATTATTTATATTATTATTATAAATTATAAATTATTTTTATATTTATATACATATTATTTATATTATTATTATAAATTATAAATTATTTTTATATTTATATATATATATAAAATGTCACACATTCAGATATAATAATAACGTTTTTTAACAAAATAAAGATTTAGTAACAACTGGAATTGATCCACTCAGAGAGGTATGTATCAAACTGGTTTAAAACACACACACACACACACACACACACACACACACACACACACACACACACACACACGCCCCAGTTGGCCAGTACAGAAGAATCCAACTTTAACGTTCTCAACTGGAGTGTGAATGAAAAGGTTTGAAGACGTAACACACACACACACACACGTGTCGTTCCCGCCGAGCCGCCCGGAGGAAGGTGAACTCCATCAAACACACCTGTTATTACCCAGCACACACACACACACACACACACACCAGCTGTGTGTGTGTATCATCTTCTCCCTTCATCAGCTCATGAATCTCCCGGCGGATGAGCCGAGGAACAGCCACAGGCCAGACACTGTTTACTGCATTAATATCAGTATTGATCTCTCACACACACACACACACACACACACACACACAGAGAGAGAGAGTTGCATCATTAGCATGGCGTGTGTGTGTTAATTGCGGAAACATAAATGTCATAGTTTTGCGAGCGCTGGGATACGAGCCGGCCCTCAGCAATCACTGACTCACACACTCTCCATTCACATCAACTCCACACACACACACTTAAGCTTCATTTACATAACTTAATTGACCCGTTATTTTTTGCCTTTAATTTTCAAGAATATATAAGATTGAATCCCAAAACCACCTGATAGTCTCGCTTCAACAATTCGGGTAAAGTGAGGAACGGACACACACACAAACACACACTCGCACGCACACACACACACACACTCACTCTCATTCTCACATTACAATCGCACACATTCTCTCGGGCACACACACACACACTCTTGTGCACACTCATTCTCACACAAACACACATCACAATCACACACACACACACTTTCACACACTCACGCACACATGCACACACTCTCACGCACACACACTCACACTCTGATTCTCACACAAACAATCACACACACTCTTTCTCACAAATACACTCTCACGCACACACTCGCGGACTCTCACGCACACACACTCACATTCTCACACAAACACACTCACACATCACAATCACACACACTCTTTCTCACACATACACTCTCACGCACACACTCGCGGACTCTCACGCACACACACTCACATTCTCACACAAACACACTCACACATCACAATCACACACACTCTCTCACTCACACACACGATCACACTCACAGTCTCTTGGACACTCACACACTCATTCTCACACAAACACATCACAATCACACACACACACTTGCACACACTCTCACGCACACACACACTCTGATTCTCACACAAACAATCACACACACACACACACACACACACACACACTCACACTCTGATTCTCACACAAACAATCACACACACACACACACGATCACTCACAGTCTCTTGCACACACACACACACACACACTCTCATTCTCACACAAACACACTCACACATCACAATCACACACACACACTTTCACACACTCTCACACTCACGCACACATGCACACACTCTCACGCACACACACTCACACTCTGATTCTCACACAAACAATCACACACACTCTCTCTCACACATAAACTCTCACGCACACACTCGCGGACACTCGCGCGCACACACACTCACACGCACACTCACATTCTCACACAAACAAACTCACACATCACAATCACACACACTCTCTCTCTCTCACACACTCTCTCTCTCTCACTCACGCAAAAACTCTTGCGCACACACAGGCACACTCTCATTCTCACACACACACACACACACACGATCACACTCACAGTCTCTTGCGCACACACACACACACTCATTCTCACACAAACACACTCACACATCACCATCGCACACACACTGTAAAACCTAAAACACACTCTATGCAAGTCCCACTTATTTCTACAGTGTTGTGCAGATATTGTTTAACCCTTAACTCACGGCTCGCCCTTTGACCCGGGAACTCATTGACCTTTAGAGTCAGACATCAGCTTTCCGAGCGTTTCTCAATCTATTCATTATAAACAATAGAAAAAGAAAAAAAAAAACATAAACGAATCACGCTAGTGTAATAATAACTGGTGAAACATTCATGCATCTACTGTAAATATTAACAGTTTTGATGTTGCAAAACTCATCAACTATGAAACTAATTAAATTTCAGCAATAAAGAAACCAGTGTCAGTACATCAGTAATATGTATTATTGCTAATTGCATATGAATTCAAACAAGATAATATGCAACCGTCGATTGGTGCATCAGAAAAGTCTCATACTTCCTCCTCGCCACAGGGGGCGCTAGAGCGCGTCTCAATTATGAAAGTCTTAACGAGCCGCGTGTTAGTCAAGCATCACACACTCCATACTGGGAAAACAGCTTTAACGTCCATTATCACACACACACACTGAACAGTACATCATCAGAATATCATACCTGCGCTCTATTACGGGCTCTACTCGACTGAGACCGAGTCATTTCAATAACGCCTCGGGTTGCAACACTCCTGCTTTAATTAGCTCGTTAATGGGACGGCAATTACAGAAATCCATTTTATTCTCACTCTTGCATGGAGGAAAAGTGCGGAGATGTGGGGAGTGTTGGAGGCGAACGCCATCTGCTAACTACAGCATAATATAATAACTGAACAAAGCTGTTCTGAAAAATGAAAATCTAACGTTTTTTTGTTTGTTTGTTTGTTTGTTTTTTACTTGATCGGAATGGCACAAAAAAAAAGGTTTAATGGTCCTGAAATCAACATTGCCACAATAATGGTCCTGAAAGCCGCATTGGAAATGAATGAGTTTCCCCTAGTGGACGCGTTTGGAACTGCAGCCGAACACACACTCACTGAACGCTCGTTTACCGAGAGATCAGACTCACATTTTAAACACAACTTGTTTAGATTTATGGCTTTGATTTTCTCACAGTTTTAGAGTAAAATGTATTTTTGACGATATATTTCATAGAGCATTACGTTGTGTGGCGCCTAAGCAATGAAACGCTTTAAAATTCGCCAAAATGGACCTAATTTCCCATTTTAAAGATCAGATAAAAACGTAATGATGATTGTTTGATGTGCAATTTGGGATTTGTATTTATTGCCTTGTTTTAAATTGTACGGTGTCCTGGAAGGGCCCATAAATAAAATGTATTATTATTATTATTATATATATAAAAATGTAAAATAGTATATTTGTGCATTTTTAACAATAAACAATATTCTGTAACCGTTTAATGTACACTCTAAAAAATGCTGGGTTGTTTTAACCCAACTTTGGGTCAAATATGGACTAACCCAGCCGTTGGGTTAAATTTTTACATTACATTTTTAACCCAACATTTCGGGTTTGTCCATATTTGACCCAAAATTGGGTTAAAACAACCCAGCATTTTTTAGAGTGTAATTTTTTTACAACTGCTTTCACTTCAGCAATAATCTGTGATGTTATCAAAAGACCTTAAATTTAAGTGCGTCGCTCTAAAGCGTTGACGATTTATCACAGTTTAAGTTGGAAATGTAATTAATTAAGTGAATAAATGTATTTTAAAAACAGTGTAGATTTAATATAATACTATAAAACACCCTAAAAAATACCCCCAAAAAATTAGAAATAACATTATTGAACTAAAATATAGTGCATTAATTTCAAAATGTAATGTGTACCAATCCTATTTGACCTATGCCTGTTTTTTTACTTATATATATATGTATACATATTCTTTTTCTTTGTTACAATTATTTTTTTCCTTATTTTCTATTTTATTTTTTATTATTATTATTCATTTATTTTCATTATTATTATTATTTTTATTATGTAAAAGAGATTCAACCTTTTAAGGTACGTTATTGTTGTATTGCACTGACATAAGCTGTTGTATCTCAATAAACAAAGTATTACACATTAATTTCAAAATGTACTTTCAGTTATTTTTGACCAACATTGTTTGGATCCAAACACGCTTCAGCATAAAACATCCAGCGCACAAACTGCATTAATCTAATCACTTACTAAGATTTTGCTCCTGCTTTTCTTAC